TATAGGTTGGGGTTTATTAATGCTGCTAATGCAAAACAACGTGGATTTCCTTAAAATAATTTAGCAGGCCCAAAAACATACCTCGCATCCTGACTAAACAAACTGTTGACAAGTCTCTGGGGAAAAAAAGGAAGAACAAGTTTTAATTACTTCCGAGGCTCATTATTTTAAATCCTGCTGGTAACTACTTCTTCTCGGCTCTTTTCAATTTAATCAAAGCTTTTTTTTTTTTTTTCCTCTCCCCTCTGTTATGGTGCTGCAGACCAACATCAGTCAGAAACCTGGCTGTAGCCAAAAGTGATGCTCAAAGATTTGCTTCTTCCTTTACATGAAAGTGAAAGGAAAAAGTGCTCTGTTTTAGTTTTCCCTTTGCTATAAACCTAAATCTTGCTTTTAAGAACTATAGTTTGCTCAGTCCCAGGATCTGGGACTTTTTGAGTTCTTTAAATAACCCTTGGCTTGGAGGTTAAAGTGAGTTTCAGTTTTGAGGAGCGAAGGGATAGCTGTGAGCAGCCATCCCGCCTCCACGGGGGCTCTGCGGGATCCTGCGCCCGGCGCTGCGCGGGGAGCCGGCCCTTTCCCGGGGACACCAGCGCCTGCCCGTCGTTCCTTCGCCTCTGCCCTTGTCCTCAGGGAAGGTGCAGCTGGTGCTCTGGAGCAGCTTCGGCACCGCCGCAGCTTTGAGCTGGGCCGAGGGAACGCTTAACGCGTAGTATTCGAGGGCCCCAAACTCTGATAGTTTTCAAAAGCATGTTGCTACTCCTACGATTGACGCGTTCTGCAGACTGTGAGCTGCAGCCATGTTATAGGGCTGCAAAATCCTTTTTTTTTTTTTTTTTAAATTGTTTTAAGTTGCCAGTGTTTTTTAACTTGTCTGCCCCTCCTCCTCCTCCCTCAAACCCCCTCTTCTAGAAACAAAGACCTGTTTGTTCCTGCCTGCCTGTGAGGTCTTGCAGCTCTTGCCCTGGTGGGTGCAGAGCCCCTGCTCTAAAATCCTTTCCCTGCCCCAGGAAGGGAAGGAGCAGGCGCTTCAGAAAGCTGATAAGTCGCAGCTCTAGCAGATAAGCAAAGCCCTCTGCCTTTAAATCTGGGACTTTTAAAACGAGCTTAAGGAGCACCACAAAACCGTGAGGTGCGAAAATACAAAAAGTGCTTCTATGATACCTAAACTTTGGAGCACATGTTTGTCCTGCAGTCGTGTCCTCAGCCTGCAAGAGAGAGGTTACAAAAATCTTTTAACCACTGGTTGTCCTCTTTTCAAAATGTTATGTTGCAAATGATAGGAAATTACATTCTCCTTTCTACCTCCCTTGAAGATGATATACTTGTGGAATCATCTGGGATGGCTGAAAATCATTCAGTGTTACTGATACTTTATTTATTCATTCATTTATCTCCCCCACTGGTTCTTCGCTTGGGTGTGTTAAGCCAATAAAATGGAGTGATAAATGTCTTGGTTTAATTTCCAAACTCACGGTATAATTTCATGGTTAAAAGTATTCCCCTCTTATTCCCGTGTCAAAGATCTGTCCTGAGACTGGTTTAAAGCCATGTCAGTTGGGAGTCTCTGAGACTTGCATTCCTAAAATATTAAAATGCTTAAAAAGAAAATCCTTTTAATAGATATGTGAATGAATGTAGAAACTAGATCTTAGATCCAGCTTCTAAGGAGTAACAAAAAAAATCATATATGATCATGTAATTGAGCTGTCTCTGCAGATTTATTGGTAAACATGAAGTATACACCAAAGTCTCAATATCTTGTGATACTCCTGTTTTAGATACAGTTTTAGGTATAAGCACTAGTGTCAAAATGCACATTAGAAAGCGTTTCAGGGGTCTAGGCTGGTGGAGTAATATGCAGTGTCAGACAAACATTTTTGTTATATTTTAAGTTGCAAAATCAGGAAACGGAAGAGTGGATTGATTATATGATCAGCAGAGAGGACAGAAATGATACAAGCAGCTGTCAGGAAGATACATACAGGTATATAAATATAAAAAAAAAAGTCATGAGAGAATTATTCCCAAAGCTCTATATTAGTGGAAGAGACACCTAATGAAGTGATACTTGCGTGTTGCGTATAGAAAAACACGTTGAAAGCCTGTTGATGGTACACATGTGTCTTTATCTGAAGTTCTGAACTGCTGAATTTACTCGAGTTGTCTGTGGTGGAGCGGGGCTGTCAGCTGCAGGAGGCAGCGGCTCTGGAAGCCGATGGTGTAACTGAGACTAGAAAGTTAAAGATGAAGTTTTAATGAAATGAAAACTGAAATTCCTCAGCTTTGGGTGCTTTATTTTTACGAGTTGGGTAGTTTGCTCTAAATTTAAATGAGTGTGGGTGTTGGTGGTTGTGTTGTTGTTGTCGTTTTGTTTTTTAGGTGATTTCATAGGTAGTTTTAATTTTCTATACTTTGTCCCCTTTTACTTTCAACTGTAATTGACCTTCCCTTGTGTTTAATGACAGGGTTTGAATTCTGCAACTCCTGAGTTGCAGCCCAGACCTCTACTTTGGTTAGAGGGATGGCTACAAGAGTTAGCAGCAGAAGGCTGCTGTTTTCTGTTGTCCCTTCCGTTTTTTGCTCTCAAGATGAGAGGATAGGATGCAAAAAGCAAAAGACATCATCCTGGTTCCAGATTTGGTCAGAATCTGGGCAGAAAGGAGCAAATCCATTCCCTATCCGGCAGTGTCATGTCTAGCCCCTAAGAGAGCTGCTGCGTGGGCTGCCCTTCACTTCTGCACCCCTGTCTCCTCCTTAACCTTTCTCCTGCCATCAGGCTCCCAGCACAGGCTGCCCAGTGGACTCCTTGTGTTCCTGTTCACCGCTCGCGTCCTTGCAGGGCCATGTTGAAACTTCTGCCTAGCAGTTTCTGATACTTGGGCCTTGTGAGCCCCCAGTGTCC